CTAATTTTGTTAAGAATTTGTAACTCTAAAACCTAAGATTTAATTAGAATGAACAAATAGAAAATGGGATACTCTTTGGCCATTATTTGTTGGCTCTTATGGCTAGACCACAACAGGTATCATTTGATGAGAACTTTATGTGCACTTCAACCAAAGAACCTATGCTAAAGCACCATCTAGCAAAGGGGACTGTCTATCTAAAACAGAAGCAAATTCATGCCAAACAAGTTCAGCTCATGGGATGGGAACGACACAAACCTTGTGTTCCTTTTTCTCTCAACCTCTATTTACTTAACTATTAGAGTATAGATTTTTATAACGTGAATTTATTGATATAATTACACATGTGGGTGATCTTAACCTTCACCCAAGTGACTTATATTACCATATCTTATACTGAATAAAACAAATATCAAAACAGAGAACCTAATCGCAATTCACAATAACAATATCAAAACAAAAATCCCTACACTTATTTCCAGTAGTAAAGAACAAATTTTCAGAGTTGCATCTACATTTTGAGTATATGAATCATCAATCAAGGAACTAATGTTTTTCACTTTTCCCTTGCTCAGTTACAGCCTCAAAGGGTTTCTAGAAATTTCTAAGTAAGCACATTAACCTAAGGGACATGCAAACAAAACGGCTATGAATAGAGTGGAAATGGAGGCTTCCTAGTTCTCCTAACCCAAGACGGCATCTCAGCGGATTTGGCAACATCTCCTATATGTGAAAAAACATCTTGTATGCCCCAACTTCCTCTACTGTGAAAATGTGCTTGCACAAGAGAACAAAATCATATATCCTTCTTTACACCATAAATTGCAAAAATTAAAGATCATGCCACGAGTAAAATTTTTTTTAATGGATATAGGAGATTTTGCCATGTTAGATATGCAATTTTGGGCCTTATGACAGATCAGCATACACATTAGATGGAATGAGCTAAAAAGATAAGATTTTATCTTTTAATTACCTTTTTAGTTAAATTAGGTCTATTTTAACTAGAATTTAGGATGAGGTTCCCATTGCGGGTGTGGGTTATTAGATAAGAGAATAGGTGGAGAAATTTGGAAGGCAATCTGATCTTGTTAACTGTTGAGATGTCCCACTACATCAAAAAACTGCCCATGATTTTAAAAATTGCAGAAAGTGGGAAGTTACAACTGGAAAAAGGAGAATAAAACAGAAATTTTGGAAGAGACAACACATGGCCAGCCCTACTCAAAACCTGCAAATTTTCATACTTTTGTTTTCTTTGCAATTGCTTACAGATTTTGGATTTCAACACAATTTCCAGTAGATTTAGGTTGTTTTTCATCATTCCAATATTCGAATTAGTTCATGTACAATTTCGTTTCACGTAATGAACTTCAAGTTCTTGAATTTCTGTAAGGTACTGTTCCTTTTATGCCTATAATTAGTTTAATGTTTATGATAAGTAGCATTTCATCAAATGATTACTTATATGACGTTTACGCTTCTTTCCAATTTCAAGCATGTTAGTTTAATCACTGTTCATGTTTGTTTTAGTGTTAATTAGGGTTAAATATCCAATTCTACAGCAATTGAATTTCCAAATCTATTAGTAGATAGCATTTTAATTTAACAATAAACATTTTTAATTTAATTTGCGTACATCTTTTTCTCACAAATTTACTTTAGATTGCATGCTATTTAATTTAATTTAATTAGGATTTATTAACTTTGTTTCACGGTAGTGTTTAAGTCCTTGGAGTTGTCTAAGGGAGAATTAGTAACCCATTCTATAAGAAGGCATCCCTCCCTCTTCCAAATTGTCTGTAGGCGCAGATTTTAACTTTAAACAAACGTTCTTCCCACCTTTTGCAAGGAGGTCGGTGTTGGCTCAATGCACACCAAGAAGGGGGGTGAATTGGATTTGAAAATTTTTCATCTCTTTGCAACCACCAAACAAAAATTAAAGAGAGAGTAGGAAAGAAGAGCTTGCACAATGATTTTATAGAGGTTCGGTCCAACCACTTGCAGCCTAGTCCTCTACCTTGACTTCATTTACCAAGGATTTCCTCCACACTCTCCAAGGATTTCCTCCACACTCTCCACTAAGAAAAAAAAAGGTGGGTTAAAAAAGCCACCCCATCCTTTTACAAGAAGAAGGGTTTAATTGTTTTGTCTAATTAGCAATTTTTGTTTATTAAACTAATATAATTTTTTTATGATAAATCAATGTAAAAAATAAAAATATAATAATTACTTAATGTTATTAAAGAGGAAAAATAAAGTTGATACTAATTAAATAATACTAACTAAAAAATTAAAATGGATAAATTTATCAACAAAATTAAAAAATTTTAATTTCTTAACAATTTAGACTTTAACCACTATCTACTAGTCCCAAATTACTAATTAAAAATTTTTATTAAGCACCTAATTTATAGTAGTTTTAAAATAAATAAATTAACCAAACACTTATTCTTACAAAATTGCTAACTATCATACCAAATGGGTTCTTAAGGTAGTTTTTTTCATCCGCTAGTAGTTTGAACTATAATCTTTATTTATTAATTCTAAACTATTAAATTGTTTTTTTTATCAAATACTTAGTTTGTAATAATTTTGAAATAAATAAATTTATTAAATAACTATCCTTAGCGATTTGGTAAGATCGCTAATCGCTATTCTCAAATTACTATACCCAACAAAAAAAAAAAAAAAAACCAAAGCCAGAAGATTTGATTTTCTCGTAATGGTAAATTTTTTATCTGAGTATAGTTTTGAGCACTCAACCCCGAAAATCATTATAGTGTCAATGTACTTTTGAGCCCTTGTGGTTAGAAAAAAGTGCACTTAATCCCCAAGTAATTTTGAGATTTTACTCTCAATTTTAATAAACTTAGGAGGTCAAGTGCAAATTTTGTGAAACACAAAGAGTTATGAAACGACTTTAGCTGAAGGCAAGTTGTTAGTAATGAGCACCGATGTGAGATTATAGTCAGAGCTAGACTTATTAGACCACATGACCTTACAACTTTTCAAGTCAAAGTTCACAAACCCTCGAAAACTGAAATTTAATTTATTAATAATAGTTAGTCTTTACATTTATATATC